TTTAATTTGAAACAACTTCCTTTGATTCAAAAAGGAAGTGCCTCATGTTGGTGCCCCTTCGATTACACCTTTACATGCTGGCTTGATTCATAATGCAATGGCTACATGCATGCAAGTCGGATTCCTACTTCATTTGGGCATTTGGTCTCTTCAAAGCATGCTTAATTCCTTCTTCGTTTGGGCATTTAGTCTCTTCAGAGCATGCTTAATTCCTGCTTCGACTAGGCAAATAATCCCTCTTCAGCCTGCCTGCAGCGTACAATGCAAAAGGTTTCTTTTGACTTGAATTTGATTTACAAGGAAAGAATCCCTACAAGCGTGTTTTGATTCATCAAGACAAAATCCCCTTCACGCCTGCCTTGGATTCACTAAGACAAAGATTTAGTTTGTGCTTGCCTTCGATGTAGAAGGCCAAGACTCCTTATGGGTGACCTTTAATCCACCAGGCAAAAATCTTCTTTTGATGCGCCAGGAAAAAAAGTTTTCCTTCGACCACAAGGCACTGGCTACCTTTGTGCCAATTTTTCCTAGGAAATGGCCTCTTTTACGCATGCCTTGACTTGCTTCATTCTAGCATCCACAAGGCAGAGGCTTCCTTAATACCAGTTTCGACTGGGTGCTGACACCCGTTTGAAACAATTGTACACACTTCAACATGCATGATAGCCCATGCGAAGGATACACCAAAGGCCCATTCAAAGGGCACACCAAAAGGACCATCTAAAGACCCATTCGAAGTAAGTAATACTAGATCCAGTCGAAGGGTACACAAGAGGTATATTTGAAGAAGCATGCAGAAGGCCCAGTCGAAGGCTACACAAGAGGTCCAGTCGAAAGAGGAAACTTGAGGCCAGTCGAAGGCTACACAAGAGGTCCAGTCGAAAGAGGCAACTTGAGGCCAATCGAAGGACAACATTAGAGGGCATTCGAAGGAGCCAAAGCATGTCCAGGTTCATTCAAATTAAAAAAGGGACACGTTTCCACTAATTTTAGAATGTTACAAAACACCATTCATGGCTTTGAAAACACTTGTTTATGGCTATTTAAACCTTTGCCTTCTTGTCCCCTCCATCCCCTCTATATAAAGAAGACACTAGTAAGCTCAAAGGGGGCTAGACACAACAAGAGGGAGAGTCACACAAAATCAAAAACATATTCTTGGAAGTTTCCTGAGGCTTTTCCAATCATCTCTAACCCTTAAGAAAACGTCCCCACGTCCAGAAGCCAAATCGAAGTAATCCTTAAACAAGGATACCCACGTCTAAATTCATACATCACCCTTGGTATGAATGGGAAAAAAGATCAAACTTACATTTGCATGACATATTGGCATTTATAATTTTATTTGATCTATATTCAAGATTAAGGACCTAGGTTCGACACCCAGGTCTACATTTCTTTTGTTTCTAACACTTGCTGCAGATGTAGCCTGATAGACCCAACGAGTGCAGAATCGAAAGACCTGGGTTTGGCACTACGGTCATGCTTTTCGTTTTTGACAACATGTTTGCAGATGTAGTGCCCTCATAAGTGATCCATCAGGTAATTCCAGTAGCGCCTTCTGGATCGAAAGTCACATCATGTCACTGGATCAAAGGGTAATCGAAAAAGAGCTTTCCCTTCATAGAGTCGAAAGGCACCATCTCCCTGCAATCGAAGGATGCTTCCTTTTCTATTTTTTTTCCATTTATTTATTAACCCTCTTTTATTTAAATTGACCTTAAATAAAAAATCACAAAAAATATTAGGCTAGTTGTTTTTCTAATTAAATTAATTTTGTAAATAAATAAATTAATTATTTTAACCTATTTCTTGAAATTAAAACTAAATAGACTTAGGTTATATTTTTCTTAAAATAAAAACAAAACAAAAAGATTTCTTTTCCTTAGGATTTAAACGTCCTTTTTAATTTGTGCGCATTTATTTTATTCTCGCATTTTTATAATGATGTAACTGCTTATAAGATGTAATAGTAATTAGGATTTATTTTCTACTTTTAATTTCTACTTTATCCCCCTCATTCTGGTACAGTTTAAATCCCCTCCCCAAAGCATTGTAATAACGTAGATTTAAATTCATGTACTTTAATATTCTGCAATATATATTAACTGCTAGTAACTAGGCGTGTATGAAAAATTCTGAAATTAAAACATTAGCAAACTTAACAAAAAGACAAAAATAACTGAACATAACACATTTGCACATATACACCTCTAGGGTATCCCACTTTGGTTGCCTTCGGAAATAAAGTAGCAATGTCCCTCGAAACGGGGACGCTTTAGCAAAGACCCGTAAATAAAAAAGATCACAGTCCCTCGATGACCCTACAGTTGCCTTCTCGGTAAATGATCTAGCCCCTAAACAAAACTGCTAAAGCGTCTCCACAAGTTTCCTTTCTGACTGTAACATCACTTTCAAATTTCCCTAATACATCCAACGATAGGGATACCTACTCACTAATAGTAGGATAGCACTGTCTAAAGGATAGGAGGAAAAGAACGACCATTTTCGAGTATATAAGTAGATAGCTGTTAGAAGTTTTCTCAAAAACATTTTACACTTACACAAATACTACTTTTCAAAGGCAATTTTCAAAACATTTGCTTTGTTAACACTCTTGAGGACTGATACAAGAGTTAAACACAAAGAAAATCGTCGCACTAAGGCATTTTCCAAACATTTTCAAAACACACAAAGCACAAAGGTATTTCCAAATGAGTAAACCTTTAAGAGCCCGTAGATAACTATGGATGGAAAGGGTGCTAACACCTACCCTTTCCATAATCTACCCCCTTACTCAAAATCTCGAAAAGGTCTTTCTCTGTTCTTTTTACCCTTTCCTTAATTTGGATAAAAGAAAAATCGGTGGCGACTCTTGCTTACCGCAACATTTGTGAATGCAAAATGAAAAACTAATATATAACAGTCGGTTCTGCCACCGTATTATAGAGCTGGCGAATCTGCTGGGGAAGTTAATAAAAAATTGGGGTTTACCTTAGAGTTAGTTCATTATTGAACTTCTTTTTTGTGCTTTGTATGCTTTATCCTTGGAGGGTTGTTTGGGTTGTTACTGTAGATCCTACACCCAGATCTGGGGCATCTTTTTAGGTAAAAAACAATAGATCATGGAGACTGTACAACCTAGACTGATATGGTTGAAGTGATAGCTGTGTTGGTGTGACACTTTGGTTTGTACCGGTATCCCTTGTGTTGAATCAAGGAGAATACGTGGCCGCCGCGTGTTGTCGTGAAGCACTAACGGAACATAGAATCTTAGTTGAACAGACTTGGCCATTAGAAAGTAGTCAAATAGTTGGCCTTAGTGTAAAGTTGGGGATTGGTTAATACTCAATGCTACACTCAATGAGATTGGACTTTCAAGATGTTTTAGCTGTAAGAAAAGATTGCTAAGCTGAAATAATGCTCAATAAAGAAAGATCGATGATATTGAGGCTCCTTAGAACCCGATTACTATTTCTAGGACAGGTTGAACCAACTAAACTCAAGAGGTTACTTACCTATAAACTCCATGCAAGCCTGAACCTAAGGTCTTATGTGTTTTGCTTGTGTGTGATTAGTTTGCTTAAACATGACATCATGCATCATAACATCTAGTTTTCATTACACTGACCATTTCGAGGACCGAGGGAATTTATCTTTGTTCTATTTTGTAGATCATGGCTTTCGCTCGTAGAAATACTATCCGGATCAGTTTCGTGAGAATACCTTTCCAACTCAAAGAGCTAGTATCAATGGTTTCCGAGACTTCCACATTTACCAAGAACTATGGTCGACTTCTCAATTTGGTTACCTTGGGTTTTGATGAGAAGATGATGAGTTTACTCTTTCAATTCTTTGACCCTAAGCACCATTGCTTCACCTTTCTAGATTATCAGTTGGTTCCCACCATAGAAGAGTTCTCTCAAATATTGGGTATACCTATTCTTGATCAGATACCTTTCATCGGTTTAGAAGAAGCTCCCAAGCCAGAGGTCATTGCAACAAATTTGCATCTGAAATGGTCCGAAATTGTATCCAACTGGGAAAAAAGAAGTGGTGTTAAGGGTTTTTTAGCCAAGTTCTTGTACGAGAAGGCTCACCAATTTTGGGCTTATAAGATTCACATTCTAAACTGCTCAAGATTCACTCCATATGCACCTTCAAGTTCAATACGGATACACGTTAAAACACGCCTCTATTCACTGAATAAAACAAAACTAAAATAGAGGGAATAGTCATAAAATATAAAGGAAAATATCAGGGAAAATAGACGGGGAAAATCAGGAAATTGAAACTGAACTGCCAGCTCAGCTTATAACGGAATTTCAAACAAATCTTAGCTTTCCAATTCTTGTAACTAACTATTAGAATTAACAGTTCAGATTCAATTTCTTTGTAAAAATCTTTTCCAGATCTAACAGAGATATATAACAGAATTCTCACCTGGATTCGGGGGATTTTTTTAAAAAAGAATCATAAGAGCTCAGAGCTATAATTCTCTCTCTCCCTCTGAAATTCTCTCTTCTTCCATCTATCATTCTTGATTCTCTATCTTCATATTCATCCTCTAAAACACAAAAAAATTCTCTTAAATCTTGGCATCTTCTTCAACCCTTTTCCACCAAATTCTTGTATCATCATCATCATTCAATCATCAATTCTGCATTCATCATTACATTTATCTCTGCACTCTTCAATCCATCACTGCAAATCTTTAGCGTATCTCCATGTAGCTTCAACAATCATCATTTTCATCGCAGGACGAATCTTCATCATCATCAAAAACCTGAGGTAACTTCTCTCTTCATTCTTATAACCTGCAAACGTCATTTCAACAACCAACTTTCATATACAAAACAACAGAGTTGATCGAGTTTCAAGAGAAAACGCGTTTCATGAAGAAGAAGAAGAAGAAAAGAAGGAATCAAAGGCGAAATGCATACCTGAGGTTATTCTTCTCTAGTTTCTTAGTAGTCTCCGACATCAAAAAGCCGTCAGAGCTACTCTGATAGCTTGAGCATGGGAGGCTGAGATTGAACTAGAAATTTGATTTGCAATATTTGAAGCGGATCCGCAGAAATGAGATGATGTCGAAGAGCTGAGACGATATGAACGGGAAAGGGAAAAGAGGTCATATTTGTTGATGTTGAAGCAAGCCAAAACGAGATGAAGAGATGAGGAAGTGAATGGTGATGTTCACAGTGCCAAGTTCGCCAGAAATCATAACCTGAAACTGTTTGAGAAGAAATTGGATCGCGAGGAAGATGAAGTGCCGCATATTTTGGATCCCTAAACAATCTACAACATGTTATATTTTTTCCATTTTCCATTTTTATTTTGTTTTGACTTCATTCTTTAATTCAACAAGAAAACATTGTTTGTGATATATGGATTGGACCGAACTGTGTCATTTTCCTAAGCCCAATGAAGTTTTCTTGGTGATCTGAAGCAGGATGCACAAGAGAGGCTGCATTGGTTTGAATGGGTTGGGTTGAATGGCATCCTGAAGGCCAACGTGATTTTTTGGAAGCTGGATGGTTGTGCAAAAAAATAACCTTGCTGGGCTTAGCGCCCTTCTTCAACAAACTCCTCGATCTCAGCTTGCATCCCCCTTCTGACTAGAATGCTAATTTCTTCTTCTCTTTGGTTTCCTTCCTATAATTTTTGATAATCAAAATTAACAATAAAAATAATAAAAATTGTTATTTGTTTTTTTAGGAATGTAATATAATTTCCCTAGATTTTTATTCTTTTAGAGTTTTGTTAGAATTTTCTATTATGGTTTATGTTTAAATAATCATTTTGTTTCCGAGACTTTATGCTTCACTTTTTCCTGTTGAGATTCGAGTCTTATGCAGGTTTATTGTACGATATGCAGATATACTTGAGATTCTGGTTGTGGTTTATTTTCACATTGATGATGCTGTGACACTTATCCCGAGTGTTGTACCCTAATTTTCCCCCCTAAGATCCCTTCACCATACCATATTGATTCAATTACAACAAGATCACATTAGGGCTTTTGGTTCTCCTTCTTATCTTTAGCTTTTCTCTTTGAGGAATCACCAAGCACCTTGACTTGTTTTTCTTGTGTAATCATTCATGATTTTGTTTTTACTTTCCTATTAATTAATAAAATGCAATGTTGGTTTGTCTTACTTGTCAACAATGCAGGTAAAGGCAATGGGGCTTAGCAAGTTGATTCATGGGTTCATGAGTTTATTTCCATGGCCTAGTCAATGAAGCTTGAGAAGTTAAAACCTCACCATTTAATTTGTTTTGGAAGGGATGGTAGGGAAAGGTTATTTTTGTTCAATACATTTCCAAGTTATCAAGATTTGATCCAAAAATTACAAGGGGTTGATTGAAAAATAGTCATGGTTGGGCAAGGCCTTGTTCCCATTAATCACAAGTACATATTTCTCTCTCAATTATATAGATATGGAAGTGGTTGTGGTTGCTATGAGTTCTCATTATCATCCTCAACAACTTATATTTACAAAGCATTTGTTTTGTTACAAGAAGTTTGTTCAAAATTGTCAAAGTTCCTCAAAGCATTTTCTTGATCTAGGAGTTAGGGTTTTGAACTTCAAAGAAGCATATCTTGCTCATATTTTAGTATTTTTGAGTGATTATAAATAAATCCTTCTCTTCAAAGGGTTATCAACAAATCACTTCAAAAGTTCCAAGGATTTTTCATGTGGAAGAAACTTGATGAAGAAGAAAGATTACAAGTCCTCCAGATGAATCCCTAATTTTCCATGTGTGACTTCAAATGATCATAACTTGGTCACTTTTTATCACCTTGAGCCCATTCTTTTTCCATAATGATCTTGAAGATGTGAACTTTATGCCTTCTTTTATGTGCAAAGTGAGAAAATGTATGGAAATTTCCTTAAGGATACAAAAGATTATAGTTCATTTCATGATCTTTTGCCCACTTCAACAATTCATAAATCTCTCAATTTTTGGAGATTTTGAATGGTTCAAGTTCCAAAATGTCATTCAAGAGATCTACTTCATGCAATCTTTTTTGGTCAAGAGCAAATTCCAAGTATAAGGCTATGTTTGGATGCAAGACATTATAGGTCACTTTTGAAGAAGAATTTGAAATATTTCTAAGTATGGAAAGTCATCCGTTTTTCTCTAACTTTAACTCAACACAACTTTCAGCTCAAGCATCTATTTGATTCCATTATTTTTGCATTGCAAAGCTTGTAACCTCATCTTTCTAAAGCATCAAGAATCATGCCTTAAGACCCCTTGAGCTGAGAATGCCATTGGATTGAACTTGGTAACTTGGAGCTGAAGCTTTCCCATAAGTCAGAATTTGAAGTCTTTGTTTTGGCTTCTAATCATAAGTTTTCCACGCGTTTATGCCCTTAAGCATGTTTAATAAAGTTCCAGAATTGATTAGCACAACAAAACGCACATTTTGGATGAGTTTTGATCAAATTGGAAGTCACACTTTTCTTATTTGCAACTTCACACGATTTCCCTCCAAACTTCATCATTTCACACGCTTGGACATTCCATTTTATTCCCTATAAATAGAGGGTCATCCCCCAATTCATTTCCTCAAGCTTAGATAGCAATAATCACCCTTCCAAACTTGTTCCCCAACTCAAAATTCAGCAACTTCGAAATCCATTCTCAAGCCTTTTTCAATCCAATTTTTTCATCAATTCACCTTCCTTGATCTTCCCTGAAGCTAACCATATAATTACATTCAAGAATTATGCCCTATATTGCTCCATAGACGTCCAGTTTCAGAGCTCTGCAACTCAACTTCAATAGGTAGATTCCTTCATCAATTCTTCAAAACTTTGATATCATTGTGATGCCCTCATTTCCCTGGTTCTAGTCGCAACACTTACTTCTTACTGGAAACACGTTTTGACCATGAATTTAAAATCCCTTTTCAAAACTTTCTTTCCAAATTGCTTGAGCTATAATTTATATAAATTTGACGCGAGGGTGTGGTTGTCTTCGTCTTGAAGAGACGAAGTGAATGGAATAGGTCTGAGCTTTTGATTTTACAGTTTGAGAGACCTACAATTCACGTTGGCTGGAGGTTGAAGATGACCAACGTGTCATCTTTCAACCAATGATGGCACGCCACTTGTTATTTTTGAATTCTGATTTAATAATTGATCCAGTGCTTTATTCACTAATAACCATGATATGCACATCGCGCTAGATCCCTTGGATTTCATTACTAGCGTGTTTTGACTCTCATCCAATGGTCCACATTTTTTTACTTTTATTTTCTTTTCTGATTTTTTATATTTAATTGTTTTAAACTTCAAAAAATCATAGAAAATTCATTTTTAGTCCAAAAAATCTGAAAAAATTATGAAAAATATTTTTGATTATTCTCTTTCTGATTTTTATTTTTTCACAATTTCATTTTGTGTTTTGGTATTTTTTTATAAATTTACACTTTATTGGAATTGTTTTAAATGTTTAAAAATACTTTTATGCATTTTTAAATTCTGAAAAAATTATGGAATAATCCAATTATATTGTGACAAATATTAGTGACCTTATTTTATTTTTTGTTTCTGACTTTGCTATTTTTTTAAATCATTTTTGGTTTATTTTACCCCTTTCTTTTAATTTTAAGAATAGTTTCTGACTTTAAAAAAAATTCCAAAAAATTTAAAAAATTATTTTAGTTCATTTCTGATTTTTCTATGGTCTTACTTTTATTTCTTGATTAATTTGGACATAGTTGATATTTTTCTCTTTTATTTCTATTTTTAAACATAATTTTTAAACTTTTTTTATATATTAAAATGTAATATTATTTTGTGATTATTTTCTGGCTGATCTTGGATTAAATTTTTGATCATGAACTTTATTAACATCATTGGATCCATGGTGTTGAGGTAAACTCTACAAAAATGGATGAATGATTTTAATAATAGTTTGATTAAATTTAATCCAAAAGTGGTTTGTATATTCTCTCACATCCCTCTTCATCTCATCCCCTTCTTATTGCACTAAATGTTGTTGGAGCATAATCTCTATATCATGTCTCAAAACAAATGGTGCATAGATTGCTATTGACCGGCCTTAAAATAGGAGCGACTTCTATTTAAGTCCACTTACGATTGCTTAATATAGCGCTAAATTTTGTCCCGATTCGAATAAATGATCATTTGTGGCTCAAACTTATGTTTGCAAGCCCAAGTATGTTAACTTGAGCTCTTTGATCCAATAACCTTTAGATTCATTGTGTGGAGGCTTTGGTTCTACCAATCCTCTAATGGATCTACACTACCTTTGGTCAACGTGGATCACTTAAACATTGTTGGTCATTAAGTGATACTCATAAGGATTCCAAATGGATGATATACTTGACAAAAAGCAAATGCAACATGTTGTATGGAGGCTTTGGTTCTACCAATTCTCTAATGAGTTCCAAATGCAAGTTTAAAGATGATCATCCAACTAACCACTAATCACTAATAATTGATTTTGTTTTGTGCTTTTATTTTATGTTCTTTACTTTATGCACCATTTACTTTTAGCATTTACATTTCATGATATTTTTCATCTTTGCTCACTTGAGCCACTTTATATTCTTGTCCTTTTTTATTTTGCTCATTGAGCTTTTATTTTCTTTTAAAGACACCTAATAATCAACATAAACCCTAAAAATCTTTAATGATACTTGGACTATTTGGTTACTTCCCTTGGCATTATGGAGCATTGGACTTTTTGGACTTAGGATTAGAAACCTTGGCCTATGATTGGAGACCTTGTGTTCTTATCTGATTATTTTGTCTGGAGCTCTTGAGGTTTACCTCAAGACATTGGGTTGTTTATTTGTTTTGTGTGCAGGTTATTGTGATTACACCCTTTGTTTGTAATATGGAATTCACCCGTATACAGTTGTTACTCTGCCCAATTTTTGTGAAGACTTAATACACTTGAAGTTTGGTTCTCTCAAGAGGTCTAGTACATTTGCTTGTTTGGTTTCAATCCAAAGAATGAGAGTTCTATTTTGGATCATAATGTCAAGTATTGGCTTCTTGTTGGTTAGATGGTTCGTATCCCTAGCTTTTAGCTTATGCTTTAGAATAGCTTCTTCTTCCCCTCCCATCTTCTTTAATTTCAAAAATCTTCTTCCTCCTTTTGAAAATTCTTATTATTTTAAACTTGAATTAATTTTATAATAAACTTGAACTTAGGTCCATGCATTTTCAAACATTTTCATAAATAAACTCTAATAAACTTAACAATACTTTGACATTTTTGTGAGAAGACTAAAAGTCAATCAATCTCATTTAAAACCATTTTTCCACTTTGGCTTTTATCTTTA